GTGAGAGTGAAAAACGGAGAAAGAGGAGAGAAAAATAAAAAATGTACATGTAATAATTAAAAATGTAATAAATAAAGATGAACGTATGAATAAAATATGTAATATGATCTTTTCTTTTCAATGTTTTTCCTTATTTGTAATATGTAATATGAATTGCACTGTATTTTTCTTTTTTTTTTTTTTTTAATGAATTTAATTATACGTAAAAAAGAAATAACGATGGTTCTATAAATAGTTAAATTAAAATGAAAACGATTATTAATTTACTTAACGGCAAAATTCAACAGAATTTCATTTTTATCTGTAACCCTTTGAGCTCTATAGATGCGTATACAAAATAAAACAAANATATATATATTGTTATGCCTTGGGAGAAAGGTTTTTACTTTCTTTTAAAATAACTTACACAAGATTTTAATGTCTAAACTATAGTCACATTTAATTGTTTATTTGATAACGTAAAGTCGCACTTCAAGATTCTTTTATTTATTCTCAAATATTTTCTGTAACTAGGAATGCATAACGATTCGTAGTGTATTCTGTGAGTACCATTCTGTAACTAACTAAAAAGGTGTAGAGAACATACATCGCAATTTTAAGTATCACCACGCCATGGGAACAAACAGGTAATAAGGTGTGCTTTGCCCAGCCGCTAGCGTGTGAACACCATCGTCAACAATTTTGAAAGATAACGTTAAAAGAATAAGAAAAATCTACAGAGGCATAACAATATATATATATATATATATGTGTGTGTGTGTGTGTACTTACGTATATATGGGGCATTCACGTCAAATCGATCATTTTTACCTCGACCTTTTTCGATTTTACTGAAATTTTTTTTATCATTTTTAACTTCATTAAAAAACTTTTTGAGAATTTTTTCAGATTTTTTTTAATCAACTTTCGTTCTATTATTTTTATAAGTAGTTATAAAAAAAATATATAAAAAATATTAGAATTTAAATTCTATAAGAAATTTCGTTTTTTTTTAAAAAACCTTAAATTTTTTAAATTTTGCTATTTTAAATTTTTTCCCCTTATTTTCCTTTTAAAATTTCGTTCATTCTAAACTTAAATTATACCTTCTCTAAATGGGCCGAATTTTTTTTCCATTTTTTTTTTAATTTCAAAATTTTTCGTTTCATTTTTTTCAACATTTAATTTTGTTTTTATACTAAAATAAACTCAATTAAATAAATACAGGTAGCCATCCTACAACACGGCTTCTTATAAAACGATTCATAATTGCGGAGACCCTCCTACAACACGGTAGATAAGTTCATAGAAAATGCCGTGTTGTATGAGACCTAGAGCTAACATAAAAAGGGGGGTTACGTTCCGAAAACTTATTAAAAACAAAAATTTTTTTTTTAAATAAACAACTTAATTTTTATTAAAAATATAGATGTATGAAGAATACAAAACAAAAAATATTATTTTAATTTAACGCAATTTTAATTTAATAAATTTCTTCTTCGTCACTGCTCAGTATAATCAACTGAGAACATTTTTTGTGTGAAATGATATCGCCTTCACTTTCAGAACGTTCTTCTTCACCTAAACTTCTTGCATCTTCTTCCCTCTTTAAAAAATCTGTAATATTACTTTGCTTGTTGTTTATTACCAGGTCATTGTAAATTTCTCAGTATGGAGGAGATAGACAGTTTTGATGCTCATTTTTGAATTTTCGGCTCCTTTCTTTGGAAGGATCTTCATTCAAGAAAAATGACTCGAGATTTTCAGCTAAGTTTAGGCCTTCTTGTAATATTTTTAATATTAACTTATTAACAGCATAATCTTCATCAGTGCTAGTGTACTCAGGATCAATTTGATTTACAGTTTCGGATACCATTTCCATCAAATTCGCTTCTTCAACTTCTTCTTCTACTAATAAACCTTGAACGTCCACAATAGCCATTTCCACAAAACCTTCGCCTTCGATTGATTTAGCAAGTCCTAAATGCCACTAATTTCATTTTGTGACGATTCACGCATGTTTTCTATTTTAACACTAAACATACCATAACGGGTCAAATGACCCATTTTGAACTTTTGCATTGAAAATGCACGTATAATTTTATTGCGTTTGCACATTTGACTTCATGACTTTTTCTAAGTAATTAATGTA